CCTCATTTGAAAGCTTGTGGTTATTTCTTTGTAGAAAGCAGATCGGGCATCACAAATTAGAAATCGTTTCAGTAAGCCAAAGAGACGCTGACGTTACTTAACCTTTGTGAGCATTGTTATGCAACAGAGTAAGTTTCTTTGTGTGGAAAGGGTCACACAAGAAACCTGTCAAACACCAGAAGACATTGCAAATTAGCGCTGAAAATTTTATCGTCTGAGAGGAAAGAATATGTGTGGGCTTGCTGTGTGACAGTGCTGAGGAGACCTGGAGCAAGGTTCTGCATGTGCATAATGAATATTCTCAAGGGAAAACGTCAGGCCCACATGTATGCGTCCTTAGTCATTTATCTGCGAGTGCCATTAGTGTTTTGCTGTTCGTTGTGGTGTTGCGATTTAATGTTCTGCGGATTATTCAGATTGTTTTGGAATAATGCAAAAATGTTCTAAATTGTCTTTTTTCGCATTTGCGAAGTACATATTTAAATTATCATCGGTGACATCTTTGAACTCCCTATAGTGAGGTTCTGTAATTTTCTGCAATGGCAGGATGAATAACAACCCCAAATGCATTCGTCCTTATTCTGGAGAACGTGCCTCTCGTGGTGATTGCACGATTTTGTAAGTGTGTTTTGCTTCCTACACGTGAATTACCATAACGGAAGTTGGCCATGTGATTTTGTGTAAACTGTGAATCTTTAAATAAACCCTAACTCTCAGAAATTTGGTTTTTCCTGTTCTATTTCAGTGTGAATGTCCTACTGATTGAAATAAGTTAGATTTTAGACAGTCATTAATAAAGAGACCATAATTTTTTCTCACTGGTTTTGATGCTGATATTTTAAACTTTGCAGAGGTGCTGCAGTTATCACATGCATTTATCAAAACATGCGCATTTATTATTAGCGAAGTTTACGTGTTGGATATGATCGCTGTTTTGCCATGCAGCTTCTGAAACACGATTGTGCTTGCCGAGGCACATCTTCTATGTCCTCATGACATAGTTGGGCAGTCATGGTTGTCCATGCTGTTGGGTGGCCAAATCCGTCCACATGCTTGTTGGTCAGGATTATTCATAGTGCAGATGGGAACATTTTCTTTTTTCACTTCTTTGTAGTGGTGGATATGTGCTTTATGTACAGTGTGTCCACAAAGTCCGTTCGGGGTTTTGAAAAATTGTGGCATACAAACAAATTGAGCTAGCCACATGAGGTTTGCGGCAGATTACAGTGGAACTCTGAAAGTTTTTTACTGACCTCAGTAGACCTCGATGTGGGCTCCCTCAGTAGCAGGGAGAACGTCCAGATGATATTCGAGCTTTTGCCATGTTCTGTGGAGCATATCTGCTGGAATAGCCGAGATCGCATTCCTGATATGGGTCTTCAGGTCATCAAGTCCGTTAACTGGTGTTCAGAACACGTTGCTCCTGACATAACCCCATAGGAAAAAATCCAGTGGTGTTATGTCTGGTGAACGTAGAGGCCAAGGCATTGGGCCGTCTCTGCCGATCCATCTTCCTGGAAATATCCTGTCTAGGTACGCGCGTACCTGCAGACCCCAATGAGGTGGAACACCATCTTCCAGAGTTTCACCGTAATCTGCCGCAAACCACATGTGGCTAGCTCAATTTGTTTGCGGGCCACAGTTTTTCAAAACCCCGAACGGACTTTGTGGACACACTGTATTTAATTATGTAGGACATCTGGTCTCTAGTGTTGATCTTGTGAAGTAAGTTCGTGCAGTATGGTCATTCCTTTATAGGTACATGTGCAGATCTAACCTTAGGAGTAAGTGGACGGAATATCTGGATATCTCTGATCCTGATGTTACTTTCCCAGTTTTCTTGGGTTTAGTGTCACTTCACCTCAGACAGGATCAGTGTTTAGGGTAGTACACACGTTTGTTGCACGAGAAATTTTTGCTGCAGTGTGAACCGTCGTGAAACTGTCGAGCAAGCTAGTGGATAGGTAAGTGTTTCGATGAGGGGCCCAAAATGTACTTTAATGCATAGCTACAATACTCTTCATTCAGGCAAGAAACAGTACAGTTTCCGTTGCTTAGCAGGGAGTCTTTGCCAGCCATAATGTTAATGGTCACTATACATCAGTTTGGTGGCAGCATGGCATTTATTTGCTCTCCTCCCTCCGAGGTGGAATCTCTGTGGAGCAGTCCATTCACCCATGCGATTTAAACTTTGTAGTAAAACTTGCTATATGGTGGTCAAAAAAAATGGGAGATCATTTTGTATGCCATCCTGTAGTAGTAATTGTATTTTCTGGTAATATGTGTTTTGTTGGTATCTATCAGTAACTAGAAGTATATCACGTTCATCTCTTACGCAACCACCGCTGTGTGTCGATAAAAGGATGACAGGAAACTAATATTATTGCTAATGCAGCAGTTTTATTATGCTTAAGAAATGGCAATGTTGACAGAGGGGTTGGTACTTCGTATTAAGTCATATTTAATAATGGTTCATTTCATTTCTGTACAGTGATAATTGTTTTTGAGCATCCTGGTTATTGCTGAGAGCTTCACAGGTTGAAGGCAGATGTGTGCGTGTGCGCAATATTAAATTCGGACAGTCAAGTACTGATGGCAGTTGCTTGAGTACGTTTTCTGGTGATTTGTTCATTGCATTAACATAAAATTGCAGATGAATGAAGCGTTATTGGATTATTTAAATTAAGATGTCATCGGACTGTTGGGGAACGTATGTGCTATCGGGATGGTCCTGTTTTTGTAAATTTTTGGCTGCAAAACATTTGGAGGTGAAGGAATTCTGTAAATTTAAAATGCCATCGATCATTCAGAATGCCCTTGCAGCGAACGTTTTTTTTTTTTTTTAGCCAGGTTAAAAATATCATTTGGTCCTTCTCTTTTCAGGTGAATTTCGAGTTAATGGGGAAATGAATGGATCTTACGAAGAAGAGATGGAAGTGTGCGAGAATGTTCCACAACATGGCACTATTGTTGCCAAATCATTGACCAGTGATGTAATGAGTGATAAAAGTACAGATGATATCAGTGAAAACTCTCTTTTGGATAATGCGAGTAATTGTAGTAAGGATTTTAATAATGCTGAAAACTTCTCTGTCTGTGAGAGAGGGGATACGAAAGTGCCTAACAGTGAAAATTTGAGTGAATCAGAAATGTGCAAAGATTTGGGAACTGAAGTGCCTGGAGTCGAAGAGGAAGAGGAGGAGGAGGAAATAGAAGAAGAAGAGGAGGAGGAGGAGGTCGATGATGATGAAGATGAAGAAGAAGAAGAAGATGAAGATGATGAAATGAAAGATGCTAGAGATGAAGATTTGGATAAGAATGAAGAAATAGAAATTGAAGAGAGTGGTTTAGATGACAGTGAAACTCAGGGCAGTGATGCTGGTGATGATTTAGAAAAGGAGGAAGCCTTGGACGCAGACGTTGGTAAAGAGATTCCAAGTTCCACAAATAACTGTGTAAAATCCAGAGATAACAGTTTAGGTTCAGATGCAGAATCATGTGACGACGAACATGATGAATCTGAAGATAGGAAAGATGAATTGTTAGTCAATAGGGACAAAGATGATGACTCTCATAATTTAGATAGTAAGGTCGTAGATCTTGAAGGTGAAGAAAATGTTAGTGATGAATCTGTAAGGTCTGAAAATGAGAATCACATAGGTAGCTTTAAAAAAGCAGCAGGTAGTTCTTATGGAGCAGGAGACAGTTTTAAAGAGGATTCTGACTGTGCTAAAAGGGAAGATAATGTTGCCAAGGAAGTATCTGATGTGACTCCAGTTAATGCTGTAAGTCCAGATATTGAAGAGATTAGTAATGACTCTTTAAAATCTTCAAAATCAATTAAATCTGCCAGAAATGAGGGTTCTGAAGGTAATGGCGAGGCTGTTGACAAGGATGACGATAAGAAAGAAATACACGTGTTTGTATCGGATTCAAAGGGTGGAGATAGTCCGGGCAAGGTAAAAAAGTCTCGTAAAAGCGTGGCTATACTGAATTTGACGCCTCGACGTAGTTCCCGCAATCTTAGCAAAGCGCAGAAGAGTTATGTGGAGAAGGAGGAGGATCCTGACATAGAGGAGATAACTCCACAGGATCCTCTGGCCGATCCCCTGTCCACAGATCCTTTCCGTGATGACAAGGAGAACAATAAGGCACGCAGTACAAGAAAAAACACTATTGTTGTGAATGACACTAAACGCCTCGTAGAGATTGCTACTGGAACGAAAGGTTTAAAAGGAGGCAAGAAGGAGCCGACATTAGTTATTATTGATACAAATTCAATTCTGTCTGGCCGTGGACCTGTTCCCATCTCCCAGGGGCCACACGGTTCTTCACATACATCATCTGTTGCAGCATCGTCATCGTCTGTTCCGGTAGCTTCATCGTCAGGGTATTCCATACTACCAGTCGCTGTGCCCGCACAGGGGATGTATTCCTCTCATTCATCCATGCGCATGAGTAATTCTCTTCACTCACCTCCTTCAGTTCCCAAACCTCCACAAATTTTGCCCACCCTTACAGATGACATGTATGTTGTAGAAGCTCCGTCATTTATAGTACCTTATGTGTATGAAAAGCCACCTATTAAGCCTTTGAAAGAATTTGTAGAAAAGCTAGGAAAAGAAATAGAAGAAATGAAAGAAAAGGAGGAACGAGAGAGACAAGAAAGGGAAGAGAATGAGAAGAGGGAAGAGAATGAGAAGATTGAAAAGGAAGAACCAGAAGAAGAAAAGAAGGAGAAGGAGAGAGATACAGAGAGCAACAAAGAAGATTTGATAGATCAAAAGAAACCAAATATAGATAATTCTGATAAAAATGTAGAGGAGGAAGATTGCGTTGAATCTGAAGAGAAAGTTGACAAGGGCGATGATGATGTTAATATGAAGGATTTGTCTGATGCAAATGAGAATAAATGTAAAAGTGAAGATAAAGATGAGAGTGGTGATAAAGATGTAAAAGCTAAAGGAAAAGGAGGAAGCGAAAGCCAAATAAAGCCAAGTGAAGACAAAAGTGGGGAAGAGAAGAAAGAATCAGAAGACTCAAAGAAGAATGGAGACAGCATAAACAAAAATGGCCCTGAAGTTCAGAACTCGGGGCCTGCTTCTGGTGAAGACAAAGATAAAGCTGCCAGTCTTCCCAAGCCTGAAGAGAAACCCAACAGACCACCAACATACTTTGACAACCCTTTGGGAAAGTTCTTTATGCAGATTGGCATAAACCTTATTGAGGAATATGTGCAGACAGATATGCTTCGATCACAGAAACGGAAACGTGATCGGGATGGTGGAAGGGGAGGAGCTGTAACTCAGTTTGCCATCAATTCACTTCTTAAGACCTTGGAACTAAGCAAAGAAAATAATGAACCATTTCATTTGGAACAGAAGAAGTGTGAATACTGCAGCTTTAAGACTGAGTCTTCGCTTGTTATGGCACAACATCTGGAAACCCCGCACATGCGGAATTACGTGTATCGTTGTAATTTCTGTCCGTTGGAAGTACGAAGTCCACATGATATCCTTTTTCACATGGAAGCTGAACATAATGTGCGTGGTAGGTTGGAACGTGCTCCAGCATTTCATCAGTGCCCCAACTGCCCGTTTGAAGACAATCAGAAGGGTAAACTGACACGTCACTTGTTGTCGTGTGCAAAAAAGCATAAACCAGACCGCAATCAGGAACCGCCTCCTGACTGGGAACCACCAGCAAAAATTCCGCGGGTTTCCCGCAGTCGCCCGGCGTCTCTTGGACTTGGTGCAGCTGCTTACCAAGCCATGGCAGGGAAGCAAGTTCAACCTCATCATCCCTTACTTCCGAAACTGGTGCCGGCACCTTCACTGTCTTCACCAGGATTGGGACGTGGCAGAGGCAGACCCCCTATACACGCACGATATCACATGCCAGACATGAAGATGCCTCCTCAGCGAGGAGTGGTACCTGCACAAATCAGACAAGGTACGTATTATATTTCCTTGAATATAAATTGCAGTCCCGCCTCCCCCCCAAATCTGCACCCCATAAAACTAGGGCGTGGCTTATAATCTTATAACTGTTAAACTTCTTATTGTAGCTCATGTTCCTTGCCTATATTTGACTGTCGTTAACTGAAACTGTTCGCAGTAACAGTGCACTAAGTGTGTCTTTGGACCAGAGACACTTGAGGTTTGTGCCAAATGAATCTGCCACGATGCACAACTTGAGAACTGAATAATCCCCACTACTCCATCTCTCTGACTCTTCCAACAACATTCTTGTTACATCGTCACTCTGATCATAGCCACGTAGCTGTTAACGTACAAAACAATCCGGATGCCTAGAAAAATACTTTTCCTTATGCCATGTCAATGTTACAACCCTGCTTTGTAGGAGTCATTGTGATATTCTTTATTGATGGTGCACTGTTGCCAACCCCAGAGAAACTTAGCAGAAGCTGGGTTATGCATATAATATGTTTAAAGGGTGTTTGTGGCTTTGGCTGTGGTGTAACTTGCGACGAATGGTCAGGTGATGATAATTTTGAAATGGCATATAGCTGTGATTGCTGGTCGAACTGGAACTTTGCATCTGGATCAGAATATTATTTATTGTATGTTGATGTTCTCTTTACATGTCTTTTCTCTGTAATCCAGGGATGATGTATCGACCTTCGTCATCATCCACTCAACCGCAGATGTTACTTCCCACTACGTATCAGATTGCAGGCAATCAGATCTACCAGGTTAGTTTCAATACGAAAAACTCTCTCGTGCTCCAATTCCGCATGTCATTGCCCAGAAGAGCGCCGTTAATGTTATAACTGCTGTGAGAAACCTTAAATATGAAAAATATATAGCGCATTATCAGTGTTAAGAGGTTGCTTGACACGCCCTGGTACTGTGCCTCAGATGGCATCCCTGATTTGCTGTACCATAGTGCCAGTTTAGTTTATCACAGTCCTGAAATAGTAATTTTGATGAACTGGCATTTATGAAAAATAACCAACAGTTGTGTGCAATTTCTGGCCATCGAATTTGATCGTTAACTAGTGATTATAAAAACCTAAATAAGTTAGTTGTTATATATAATTCCCCACATGTGATGCCAGTTGTATTCATGACTGGATTATTCACTTCTGCTACAGTATTCACATATATGTGCGCACGTACACGCACGTCTGAATAAAATATTCGGTACAGGGCAGAACTGGTCAGATCTTATCGTACGGTTCGGGCTGTCGTGTGATTTGCAGCACGAGCACAGAAATGGTTATTTGGTTTGTTTTCCTCAGTTATTAAAGCTACTGTCTTTTGAGATGTAAATGAATATCATACTTGAAATTTTTAATAAGGATTAATGAAGTGTTTATTTGTATCAGTTTTTATTTATTATCATCAAATATTAAAGATTTACGCTTCTTTCAGTTACTAAAAATGCCACGCGTTGCCATTATGAAACCTCGTTTGAAAGGACTTTTTGTGGAAATCTCGGCGACGTCTTGTACTCTCATGTTGAAGGGGTGAAATATAAATTATTTTTAAATATTCACTAACTTCATGTACTTATTACAGACATGTTACGGCTGGTCTTAAATTTGAAGGTGGGAGCTTTGTAGAGGTTATGGTGGTCTTTTTCTTATGGTTCGTTTTAGTGATAAAGGTGTTTTATATAGTTTGTGAACAAGGCGGTAGGTTCATAGTGAAGTTGGGAGTGGAAAACATTTTGTGGGTGAAATCTGCTTATTTGAATGAATGTGTAGGAAAGTTGACTGTTATTTTATATTCACAAAACTGATCTCAGCATATGAAGTTCTTGGTATGCCTTTGGGTATGTTTCAGATTTGTTTAATACATTTAATGAAAACTAAATTCATAGTGTTATTAATGTTATGTGATTAAGGAGGCGAAGGCCCTACAAAGGGGCTGTAGTGCCAGGGAGTAGGATTATTGTATGGTTCGGTTCTGTATTAGTATTTATGTTCAACAACAACAACAACTTGGTGACAGCATTGTTCATGTACCAGGGATTTCCATTTCTGTTACTTTCTGCTGACGCTGGTACTGTATACACCCAGGGTTTTTAATTGTCTACGCACGGAAGAAATTTGCAGCTTTGGTACCAAGGGACGCTATTCTAGGGGCAGGGTTGTGATGACATCTGTAACCAGCGTACAGATTAACAAGATAACTTAGACTTTGGGGAGTGTTGATGGCTGCTGCGTTGTCCTGTCACCAAATGTCTCCTTGTCTTGCCAGATGTGATGATTTTTAGGAATGCAATTGCTGTATTTGATAAGGAATTGCTGCACATTTCTAATGCATTTATTCAAACTATTCAAGGAATTTTATTGAAAGAAAATAAATTATTGTGTGTGTCTAATAACTTGTAGATAGATTTCAGTTTTGTCCTGTGTGTCAATTTCTCATTTCGCCATAGCACGAAAGGTGATGCATTATCGAGTGACAATATTTAAAAGCGTATATTTATGAGCATACGAGTAAGTTGGAATATTTTAGAGTACTGTTGCCCCAGAGAGTTCAGTGGTGCAATGATGTAAGGAAAGCGTAACCATTTATTGGTAGTGAAGTCAATTTTGTAAGAGTTTTCAACAAGGGTGGGTTAAATATAGAAACAGTTTCATGAGCTGTTGGTTGTGTCAGGTGGTGGGGAGCCAGGGTCAGATGATGCCAGTGGCGCCAAGTGGCCTGTCTTCAGTGCCTCGTCTCACAGTAATGCCACCCAGTTCTGCCAGCAGTGGTGCTTCAGCACCCACACCCGTTGCACTGGTGCCCAATATTGCTGCTGGTAACAATTCCATCACTATACAG